GCCCTCCTGCAAAACGGCACTCTAATTGCGCCTCTGATTAATTAATGCCTCTGTTGCATAATTAAGCGATTAAGCGTGATCGGCGTTATTCGATTCCGGCGGAGGCGCGCGCGCTTGTCGGCGTATTAATTTTCTAGTGGGATCACGCGCGTCCGGTGCTGGTGCTGCATTGTGTGTGCACCTATTAACGAACGCAATCAATCTCGGACCACTCGATCCGATTCGATCGGCCGGCCTGGACTATTATTGGTCGAGTGAGTGAGTCGAGCTACCAGCGGCACCAGCACTTACCGCGCGGCGCGAACGCATCATGAATATTGGAACACAATATTCATTACCGAGTGGACCCGTAGAGTGGACCGGGGAGCAGCAGCTCAGAAGTCGAGTGGTTCGAGTATGCCACATCAAATCGACGAATTGTTTGTTTGTGTGTTTTGGTGCATCAGAATTGATAAATCGGGGTTTACATTCAATTGAAAATTTTCCATTTTCATATTTTCTTCTTATATTGGGGATAAATTGATTTTTTAGAATGTGGTAGAGTGGAAAAATCATTTTTTGAATTTTTAAAAGTGGAAAACAATGAATTACTCGCTTGCTGCGCATGTATTTCGCTAATATATGAAATGCATTGTTTTCCACTCTTAATATGTAATGAACTATTATTATTCAACACATTTTTTACTTTTTTAAACAAATTTATTATTTTTTTACTTGATACGCAATTTTCCCGCCATTATTACAACGCTCCGTATATTAATTAAATTATCGATATTGCGCCGCAGACGCATCTTTGGCAGTTTGTAGGTCGTGTAATACAATTCGCATCATCAAAAGGAATAAATATTATTCCGAGATTCGAGCGTTCGCACTCGTCGCGCGCGCTGAATTTCAACGCAATTGATAATAAAATCAATCAATACTCAATCTCTCATGCAGTTTACAATCGGTAAACTGCTGGTGTTTGTTTTGTGCGGCTTGATTGATTTTATTTGATTAAGTGCGAAGATATAATTATGCTAATTCGCTTTAATATTGCAAGAAGTGGATTCATTAAAATGCAGCCGGCGATGGATTTGCATGAAATGGGTGTGACGGAAAATAAATTATTTATTGCACGATGAAAATTCCGGCGAGTTTATTTATAAATAAAGCAATTTGCTTATGCTAAGTGCAGTACGTGCTTAAATGAATAATTTTGCTATATTTAGATATATTGGGGTAATAATTACGTTGTACGTTGGACATTTGAATAAAGCAGTTAGAGTGTAAATGGATTAGGCGGAAAATGAAGGTGTAACTAGATAACAACCCTTGTGTGTTTTCTATCTTGGGCTTCTAGGTACTAAATATGCTAATGTTGCGGGACATATAAGTCGAATAGAATTAACCGTTGTAATGACCATTCGAGCATTTTCGTATATACAGAGTGTCTTAAAAATTAAAAAAAGCTAAAAACAGATAAATTTATATATAAAACAGAGTGGTGTTAGTTAGAGCATTTATAACTCATGAACTGTTGGGCAGATTTTGATGGTCAATGATTTTTTGGATTCGACAAAGCCCTGAATAGCAGAATAACTATTAAAATATCGGAAATTGTGATTTAAAATAGGTTAAATAAGGAATGAAAGTTTATATTGAGATTCAATTATCGCATTTCTAAGAAAGAAGAATGTGAAAATTAATTACATTTCTACTAAAAGCTAGTTTTCAATAATAAAAAGGAAATATTTAGTTATGTTACATTTCAAACGAAGTTGATGTATAATCTAATTGAAGTGTGGTTGCCGGCTGTAGGACGCCGCCGCCATCAACCACGCCACATGATTACTTTTTTTTTGCATACGCTCATTGTACGTATATTCATTTCATCCGGAGATGAGCACAAGTAAAACCATAGAAAATCCTAAATTAATTTCACATCTTGTAAGATGTCTTTTTATTAAATTTCAGTATCTATAGGGAAAATACTAAACTTAATTTAATAAACAAACAAACAAGCACAAAATAAAACCAGTTGAGAAAAAGATGCCGTAAAGTTTTATTGCAAGCATTAAACATCAACCTACGGCAACATTGTGGCATTGCGTTTCAATTTTATTTCCGACATTTTCACGTTCATTTGCCGCGCGTATTGAATCAGCAATAAACGAAACTAGCAACGAAGAACCGTGAGAAAGTTAACTAAGTGTGCTGTTTTGATGCATTGCTTGCAACAACAACACATTAAAAGCTTTAATGAAGACATTACTCTCACAATACGCCCACGGCATTTAGGTATATTTTTATTAAAACCTATATAGAACAATGAAACAATCGCAGTGTTTTATTACAAAACTAGTTGTGTTGGCGGACTTCGTACGGTCTTATCGATAAAAGACGACAATTAATTATTTGAAATTTATTCTGTTTTGTGTTCTGATATAATAAGAACTGATTACACTTTGCAGTTTTTAATAAATTGTGAATAAATGTAAAACTACGATAAATTTTTCTTTAAAAATAATTGAGAAAAAGATATTATAATATAAAAAGATTATATTCTGAAAAAGAAAAATTGGAATATCGATATATTGTTCAATTTCGAGGTCCTGTACTATTTTTGGTTAAGTTTAATTCAATTGTTCGTGAATAAAAGGCATAAAACAGAAATATATAGGAAAATATTGGAAGTGTTGTATTGGCAAATATACTGCCTGAATCAAAGAGATATTACTTTTTTAAGTGGCGCTAGTATCGCTTCTCAATGTCGTTATGTTAAACCATATAACCTTATCTATAAAACTTTTATTTTCATTTTTACTTAGAATTTTCAAATACTTTAATATTTTACTATTTGAACCATAGTCAAATGCAATAAATCAAATATTATAAAAAAATATACCTTTTTCAATTATAATTTTTTTTAATGTAAGTATAAAAGATCTTTGCCAAACAGGTTCAAAAATACTGAAATATCTTTATTTCCCTCCCAGAATGTAAATGAAATTATATCCGACATGTTTGCGAAAAAGGTTCCTGGCTCTAGTCTTAACTGCGTGCCCAGTTGAAAGGTTGAAACATTACACCGCACACACATATAGGTGCGCTTACCAGCCGTATGCATAATGTAAATTTTATATCATGAATCAATTTGTGCGAACACAACCCCTAATATCCCGTTTTCAAGACACGCCACCTTCAACTTTATGTAAATACATCCGAACCGCGCGCGCTTTGATCCTTGAACCTTTTCCACCTCGCGCGCCAGCCACACACAACATAACACAACAGCACAACTCGTCCACATTTCGCATTTCTCTGCGTGCGTACTGGTGATAAGAGAGTAGAACAACACGTCATATCAAAACATTTGATGTTGCAACATCAAACTAATCCCTTCGGGGGTAATTTACACTCCCCGGCTCACATAAACACACGAATCGCCCCGACGCACACACTTTGCCCCTAGAGCACCACCTCTGCCGCTTTCAATTCTTCCGCATTTCGGCGTTGAGCCAATTTCGACGTTCTTCCCAATCTTGTCGTGCCTTCCTCGCGCAGCGGAAGCGTGCGCGCCTGCCTTTCTTGTACCCGGGATTTTAGGTGGTACGTAACTTTCGACGTGTTTGAAATTATTCGCATTTTTCGCATGCCAGTGCGCTGCACGTTTCTAATTTGGAACCGGACGCAATGTGCGAGTTTTATAAGATTGCGGATCGGAATATTAACGGTAATGCCAACTGCCAAACTATTTATAGCGGCAGGTTTAACGATTTTTATTTCATTTACGCTATCTACACACTATTTCTTCCATGCGCCACAGTATGCAATTCACACCAGAGGTCATATCAAGGTTATTTTTACGATTTGACAGAAAAATGTCAAAGAAAAACATAACCTATAAAAATACAAGAGTAAAACAGTGAATTGTGTAGTTTTTTACATGAATTTCCCGAGTAAGGTGAGCAAAATTAAGTTTAACATCGAAACATTATTGAAAATGTTTGTTTATTAACATTATCTATATGAATACGTAGCCCTGAGCGTATTGATATGGCAGGCACATCAATACACAACATCGTTACGATTATTAATTGATAACTCGTTTGAATGTCTGAATGCTCGAAATTCCGAACGTGATTTACATGCGTCGCGTCGCGTACGCCAGTTGCGTGTTATTGGCATAACTGGGACACGCGAGAGACGAGCGCGCGCGCGCGCCTTCGCCAGCGCGCTGACAATGAATGGATATAATTTGTTAACAACATTAACATCACAATGATGGCGACGGGGAGCGCGAGGTGTACGCGCGTAACCGGCCGCATGCAAAAATGTGATAATAGAATAATCCAACTCCTAATGACACACTAAGTAGTATGCATTAACCGGAGAGCACTTCGTGATAATGCAGTGTTTATGATATTCGTGCGCAGTTACGCAAACAAACGCATTTTCTTCTTGGTATGTGTTTTTTTTTTCGCATTCAAGCTTCAAGCAAAGTTTTGTTTGGTAAAGTAGAAAATGTAAATTATGTTTTATTTGTAAATTTCACAGAAAATTTACAAGTTTTTGTTATAAAAAGAGCAAAAATTATATTTTTGAGGTTAGATTTGAAGAGTATAAAGATTCAGGCAGGAATATTGAGGATATTTATTTAAAACATGTGGAAAACTAATCAATATTCTAAATTTAACCTTTTAAAACACTCGCAACACCTACCAGCGAACATTTTCAGCTTTAATTAGTATAATTGCATGTTTTGCATTCTCGCAAATGTCGGGCAGCAATTTCCTACGCTATTTCGAACTGCGTAAACTTTCCGAGCAGTTTTCCAACTGTCAAAATACATTAACAGCGCTTTTCCTGCAAGTTTGGACGCGTGTGGGTCAGATATTTTCAACGTGTAAAAATTTCGCATTATTTGTTATTCTATCGGTGGTGTTGTCATGGCAACATAACAAGCGGCCATTTTAAAACAAAATGCATTTTTTGGTGGTTGGTGGTGGTATATTTACCTCGTCCCATTTGATGAACTTCTCGCCGGCCTGCAGCATCGGCGGTACTTCGACGGGCCGCAGCGAGACGAAGTTGGTCGGCGTGCCGCCGCCGCCACCACCGCCGGGCAGCGTCGTCGTGCTGCTTCGACCCTGCACCGCCGACATCGCCGCCGATGACAATCGCACACTCACACGTCGCAACCCTTCTCAACCTGCTGCTGGGCCGTCCGTCCGTCGTCCCGTTGGCGGTGTGTAGGTGTGCCGTTCGAGTTTTATTAGATCAGCGTGACATCGACGATATGGCAAGTCGAACGCTTTTCCGCATCTGTGCCGCAAATGTCCGCACGTCCGCTCGATGATGCGCGCTCGGGGGGATGAAGCGCGTTAAATCACGCATCGATAAACGGGCGCCGGTGGCCGCGACCGTCGTCGCGCTGCATTCTAATTGAATATTGTTGAAAGTTGTTGTTGGTTCTCTTTCGATTTCGACTGGTGCGCTGCGTTGCGCTAGAGACTTGTGCGTCCTGCGGCGCGCTTCGTACGACTAGTTGGTATGAACAGGCGCCTAGCTGTTGCTCGTGCGCTGCCACCCCCGGCCGAATCTCGAGAATCACCTGTGCGATTAGGATGCACCGACACACATTCGGCACGCGCGCGAGACGTTTTAGCTGCGCTGCTGCTGCTGGTTGCGTGCTGCTGTCTCGTCGTCGACGCGGCGGTGGTCACTCCTTTCGGCCGATAACATTTTTTTCGTCCCTTGGTAACTAGTACTGCGTGCGTGTCGAAATTTATCGCGCGCGCTCTCCTGCCCCGCCGCAGCCTCCCCCGATCAAGGTGACATCCTGCGAGATTGCTGCACCTGAGTTCGTTTCGCTATCGTCGTTCAATGTGTCACTGGGCTACTAGCATGTACGCGCGCGGTCCACACACACTCACGGTTGAGCGATGCCCGACTGCTGAGCGCACGCATCGAGGTAGGTTAGCTAATCTGGCCAGGCCAACTCTCACTGCTGGCTGCAGCCTGCAGAAACGCGGAGTGCTTCCTTCTGTGCCCGGCAGCAGTTCGGGCGCAAACCCGCCGCTCGTGCGCATCTAGTTTATCGATGCTTTCGAAAGCAGGAGGCTGGCGGCAGCACCTAATGTTTAGCTACTGTACTAATGACGTGCCAGCAGGAATGGCGCATTAATCAGCTGACTAGTGTTTATTAATCGTGTAAACCACGTGTAGCCATCTAGTATATAACATTTAAACTAATAATCCAGCAGGAATGATTAAAAATATCAAAAATCATAAATTATATTAAGATTTATTTTGTAAAACAAATATTATATCTCCGTTTAAATAATTTTAGTTTCTAACAATATTTTTCATATTTAACTCTCAAAATAAGCATACTATGGCCCTCTAGTGGTAAATACCCGTAACTTTTCGAATAATTTTTAACTGATAACAAGCGGAAATTTATGCGGTTATTTATCGCCGTGTTTACCACACTTTAATCGTCTACGTTTACGAATATTAACATTAAAATGATGAATATTTCATTAGATGCATGAATAATTCCCAGTTGCAATCGATAGTTTTTGGCCGTTGCCCCTAAACGTCGATAAACTGCCCAACGACCCAAATGAAAGTGCGTAACAAGTAAACAAAGGGGAAAAACGTTTGTCCTTCTATAAAATAGATACTTTTTACTTTCATTACCACAACAACATAAGCGGTACATATGATTTACTTCGTTATAAAAACAATCGATAACAAAATTTAGACGTAAACCGAGAAATTGCAAAGCCTTACATCATTTACATAATTAACAAGTACATAAATGCGATAAATGTACACCTTCTTTAACTGGAGAGCAGCGTATGAATCAAACGAAACCGGATATCATAAAAACACCTTGCACCTCAATATACAATATAAATATGTTACATTAATTTCTTAAAAGTCGCAGGCGCGCATACACAATTTATGATACATCTGATTTTTATGTTTTGTTGTTAGTTGTCTCTGCGTTGACACCCCATTAAAATGTGTTTTCCGTGTATTTCATTTAAAACTTAAACTTAAACATGGGGTATAGCGTGTAAGATAGTATCGGATAAAAAAATATAGTACAAGAATCAGACTTTCACAATTATAAAGTAAGTATGACGTCCCTCTTCCCCCGTAGATGTTGTGTTGGTTCGGACGCAGCTGTAAAATGATACTTGCTTAATAAAACTTCTTGGATGAAGGTTCCTCTAACCCATTCTTTATTAGTTTAGATTTTCTTTGCTCGCAGGAAATTTAATTCTCTTTTTTGTCTTGGGGCGCGCTGCTCGGTTCTTCTTCTTCATCGGAATAGTTTGTGGGTTGCTCGCCGGGCTTCAATAGTTTTCCGACTCTGTCATACTTTTCTGCAACGTAATAAACACAAACACTTGAAAATTACTTTTCTGCACTGTCATCAATGATGATGTATAATGTATTAATAAATAAAAAGTCAAAAACAATGATGATAATGATAAACTAGAGGACAAAGTACACTTTCATCACCAAGGAAGTGTATCATTAGGCTAATTTTATGTTATTACTTCAACTCAACTGGTTACCACATAAAATATGTTCAAAGAAACACACCGTGCACTTTTATAGTGATTATTATATGTATATGTCGTCATCGAAAAGCGCAATATTTAATTAAGGCGTAGATAAATTCATTAAAATTTGGTGTTGCATAAAATACGAATCACGTGAGCGTGAGGTTCAATCATGATGCGCATTATCATTCGAAATGAACAACCTTGAAACAATACGGAGTTGAGCGGCGCACCAACGAAAATAAAACTGAATATGCCGCATCATGTTGCATGTTTTGTATCAAGCTGGTGAACCCGGTTATTGAAATTTAAAAATTTCTGTGCAAGTAAAAGTATAGTAGTGATTAGTTTATGTGACACTTTAAGCTGTACATATTCGGCGGCAGTCGACGACGAAATGGAGTTAGTTGCGCGCCGTTACAACTGACGCAATACACAAATAATTGTTCATAAAACATGCGCTGTGTTACAACATCATGCGCTACAACCGTGCGAGCAAAGTGCACTAGCGGTTTTTGACACAGTCATAATATTTTCACACCAGACAAACTATCAAAAACTACAGCACATTGATTGCTAAAGATAGCGATTAAATAACAACAAAAACTTATGTTGTAACGCGCGTAATTTCGGTATCTATTAGGAGAGATCGCTAATTTAATAGTCATTAATAATATAATGCGTGTTTAATGGTCGAATTATCCGCCTTATTGATTATTATCCGATGTGATGACGGGATTTCTAAGTATCTTTGTTGCACAGCCCAGCTAGAAAGTCATTGTTTGAGTGGTTTAATGTGTACACAAACCGGTGCAGTACATGAACGACTTTCTTTATAGTTTTACCCCATTTTCTCTCGGCAAGCACTGCATAACTGTATTTCAATGTTTAGCTTATCACAATGAATATTTGCAGAATCGTTTCTATAAATAACTCTGGCAATCATCGTGTGCATCGCGAACAAATATTACACATTTTCTAATAAATGACATTTCTTCAAATATGTACAATGTATTGATTAAGCTGATAATATCTAGTATCTTGCACTGATTATTGTTGTTTGCCAAACCAACATTGGCTACACTTACAATAATATTTTTAGCATGTCAGCTAGTAGATGCTATTAATGCTTGTATTGCAAACTGGTTTCGCTCGGTTTTTACATGAAAACACTTTGAGTTTTTACCTTTGAATTGTGCCTCCCATTCTCGTACACCATCCATTTCCATTGGGGATAGGTCACTGAGGTCATCATAACCCTCTGTGGACGCTGAGACAGAGAATGTGGCCAGGCCACGACTGGCATCTCTTCCGCCGAAAGCCGCATAAGGCCCACCTACAATTTTTAATATAATAGTTTATGTAATTTATGCGTTTTTCATGGGTTGGTGGTTTAATTACCGGGGCCATAGAAGCGTTTGCCTTTGGTTACATCGAAGACGATGCCGTTCACAGCGACCAATATCCTGCCGTCCGGTTGTGTGCCATCGTAGGCTCGTAGTTCCTGTGGTGTAAAGTCTTTGCGTAGTTTCGGTAGCTGGGGCTCGGGCGGCGTGTACGTCGTCGCTGGGTTCTTGTTGCGCATAATTTTGTATATGAGAAAGACGATGAGGACGACAAGCGTGAGGTGTAGCGGGCTGGTGATGATTTCTTCCACGATACCGACGAGAAATCCGCCAGCGGATTCCTCCTCCATCGGCGCGTCATCTGTGGCTACTGGCTTATCAATGGTTTCAGCCATTTTTCGAATTGAATGAAGTTGAAGTTAGGTGAAAATCACGCACAAGTTGGCACTCGGCGCGGATCACTGTTTCAACGCGGCGGATCGGCAGAGACAGTGGTGGCTGACTGGCGCTTCCAAAATATAATGTAAATCTACTCCTAGCGGACTCGTTTGCACTTGAAACGTGACTCGTCGACGTTTGGTTGGCTGGCTGGCTGAGGCGCACTCACATCGACTGTTGTGTTGACTGACCTGACCCTACGTTCCTCCGTTCTGCGTTGCGTTCGCTGCGTCGTCGCCGTGATGCGCGTCGTAATTTCCACACGGCTTTGACAAACAATGCCGAATGCAGTACCTCACCAAGCGAAACGATCGGTCTGATTTTTACCTGTGCGATTCTATAACTTGCAGCCAGGCAAGTTTATACAGTTAAATATATACAACGTTATTAATACAATTCATAAAATTCATTGTGTTCATGGTTCAGCCTGTTGGTATCTGTAAAATGACGTAGCAAAAATTGTGAAATTGACTCGTATTTATTTAATACATACATACTTGAGTTACAGCCATTGCGCAACTCCATATTTATATTGCATAATACACAAATATGGTGACCTTCTAGGCGTGTTTCAAATTATTGCTAATGATTTGCAATTTGCGCTAAAGTGAACCTTCAAAACTGTTTTCAAACTGCAACAATGTATCGTGCAGTTGTCGATTATGTCTCACAGATGGCGCTGCATGTATCATTTCAACATAATTTATTCATAAATTATTTTGTTTTCAATCAATATTATCAAATATTAAGCAGTATTAAATTAAAAATTAGGTAAATGTAATTAAATTATTACTTTTATTTGCATTCTTTTTGCAATAAGAAGATTTTTAAAATGTGTTATGCACAAGTTAAGTTTTTCTGCCAGCAGATGGCGCCATCAGTATTATAAAATTATATTTGCTTCATTCAGCGTGTAGCAGTGTGCAGTTGATGACCTTGTGCGTGTATTTTCCTGTTCGCTTGTGTCGCTCCACGGCAACGGCGACAACGCGGACGCAAGCCGTGCGCGTAGCGTGTGTTTACGTCGACTCGCGCGACATAATAATAAACTGCAAACTTTCACTTTGAGTGCACAATTCTTCCGCGGTTGCAGGTTGCATACCGCGCGTGTGCGGACGCGTTACACGTCCAATTGTATTTCGGGTGCTTGTTAGTTGTACGATTGCCGGTTTCGTGTGTGTTTTACGAAAACAGTCGTAACTATTGTAGTGTAGCAGGTCGTCGCCTGTGATAATCACGTTTTGATTCGGCTGTGCAACTACAATGGGCAAGGCAGAGTCGATGGGGCCCAGCACACCGCAGACGGAGGCGAGCAAGCTGCTGGAGGCCGCGCTGTTGCAAATGGACGGGATTATATCCGGTGAGTTTAGTTAAAATTGCAGCGGAATGTAAATAGCTGTGCACGTGTTGGTGTTACACACGCGAACCAAAACAAACATCAACAAGTGAAAAAACAATTCGCCACTTATCTCTCCATCTCTGATATGAGAAATTGCTATTTGTTATACGTATAGTTTATTGTCGTTTTATTATACGACAGAAAATTCTCTGTGTTGCAGTATAGCAATTGTTTCGCAAAAGAAAAACAAAAGAAAGCAGTTTTTAATGTTTGCTCTGTGTTTGGTTTATGAATGAGGTTAGGTTAGCTCATTGAATGGGTGTACTCATCGGTGAATGAGCGTACAGGTGGTTCGTTTATCACCCCATTTTCTTGTCTACTTTTTTCACGCCCCCTGATCACGTACAATTTGTCCGCGAGTGTTGGACATGAAAAACATTTCTTCTACGCGATAGATTTCTAAAAGTTTCTGTCGGTCGTGTACATTTTGGTTTAGTACATTTCCTGTGAGTCCTGATTTACGACATACTTTATACACCCTCGGCGCAAGTTACCTGAATGCTTGCGCGTTTTGTATGGCGAGACTTCCGGTTTGCCACCAGACTGCCCCGAGGGAGATGGTGCTCGCCGGGGACATTGACACCGCTTGCAATTTCAATTTCGCCATAATGCGTTGGTTTATGTATGACAATGCGCGCAATGATACGTAATGGCGCGTAGTGCTGCAATTATTTTCTGTTTTGCGGTGGCGGATAGTCTTTATATGTGTATGTGTGTGATTCTTATGAATATCATGAATTCATTAATGGCGCATTAATGACGTTAAAATAATTGGGGCGGCACTATTCTCTTTTCAATCTTCATTCATAGTAATAGAATGGAATTAAATGCACTGAATGCTTTTGTGAATATTTTTAGCCGTCAGATTGTCGATTAAAGAAGAAGAAAAAAATTCGTTTGTTTTATTTTCATATTCATGAACTAAAAGTCGTTGTATTCCCAGGGGTAAATTTAATTTACGCCGTTGATGAGTTGTCGCAAGTGTTCTGCAATCTTAGCGAATTTAATTTCGCTGCATGATTAAACGAGAGTAATAATTAACGCTGTTCTTGAGATTTTCATTAAAACTCTATTTGGATACATATTTATAGGGGGATATTTATAGACTGATTTTTATGCTTCGCATATGAAGGAGGGTTGGTGTGAAAGGTACAAAAATTCGATTTTCTCTGTATTCAAGCTATTTCTCATCTCATTGATATGAATGATGTTGACGGCGCGAGAAAGCTTTCAATTTCGACGCCCTTCTCAAGATGAAGACCCTGAAGATGTTCCTTTGCTTCCTTTCTTTGACGGGGTGCGTTTTTTTTCGTTTGGGACTTCAGTGCGTGCATCCGGCGAATCTCTTCTGCCTCACTTACTTTTACTACCTTAGTAAATTAGCTTTTCGAGGGTGCGACACGCATGTTATGAATAAATATTAAAATTACGTTTATTCTCAACTACTTCTATCGCTTATTTTACTATTATTGGAGCAATAATAACAAATATCTGAGGAGATATTAGTGGAATTCGCACTTAATAAAATTTTATTTGTTTAAGTTATTTTTTAATTGTATAAACCCACATTAAATATAAACATACTGGAATAATTTTAATGATTAATATCTTAGTATCAAAATTGTGAGGAATAAAAACAGGGGCATTAAAAAAAGGTGCAATAAGTAAATGAATTGTAATCATATACATTTCGATAGCAAATAATTAATTATTTATGGTTTCAGAAATGATTTTGAAGGTGGTACTATTTTCCCACTTGCTCCTAATACATAAAATATAAGAGGTGGGTACATGACTTATTGCTATAGTATCAAAAAAGCGTTTTTTACGCACCTGAACATGATTTTATCATAAGTATGAATTTTTTAAAAACATGATCATACTTTCTGTGGTTTTGAAATGGACGCAAATAATGTATGTATCGAGAGAATATGAACCGAAGTTTCCAATAAGAATCATAATGTTGGTTTTACTAACAAATTTGCGATTTTATGACAGTTTTGATGAGGGGTTGTATGACTATGTGTCGTATAAAGTTCCTCTGGACAGTTAGAGTAATTCTATTATATTTTATCACAACATGTAAAATTATTCGGGAGGGATTAATATTTAGTGTAAATAATATTCCTAGTTATGTAGCGATCATGTTAATTCCATAATTACAGATGTTATCAACTTGGGCGGGTTAATGCATCATCCCCGACCGCCCAGCGTGATATCATATCACCCGGTGGCGGTGGCGGCAGTGGCGCGGCGGCTTTTGACGCACAGCGCAGACGCCCGCTTTGCAGCGCCGGCAGTGCAAAAACCCTTCACTGTCGGAGGCGGTCAGTGTTAAAGCCGCGTCGCCGGCATCAACAGGTGCGATACGCTGCGCTTTCGCGAGACGCGCTTATCTTCCGTTATTATTACGCGAGTGAGATTAAAATCACCATCCGTGTAGAATTTATATTCAAAACTTGTGATCATACCAGGATTAAATTTAATATACATATTACCAGAGTATTTATACTATAATACGACTGATATATTTATTAAATTCCTCTTAAAACTTGTGCATTATAAAAATCTGGGTCTTTTTGAATAATAATAAGATAAAAGTGTTTTAAATGCAGGATATCCTGGATTTAAGGACTGAAATATTTGCGGTTATTAGTTCCACTTTAATAACTTTTTTAATACCTACACATTTTAATGTTTTTCCACAAAAGTTCTGCCTTTGTTGGTAGAGTTACTAAAGCATAGGGGAAGGGGGGGCAAAGTGGGCCCCTGGGGGCAAAGTGGGCCCCCTGAAATTCAGGAGGCTTAAAAAATTGAGGGTCAAAGTGGGCCCCCTAAAATTTTTGATATATAAGATGAAGTTGCAAGAACAACTTATCCACAACAAATTCGAAGTAAGAAATAAAAAAAGAAAATAAAATAAGCAAAAAATTGATACAAAGGTAAGAGCCTAATTTTTATGAGTGGGGGCCCACTTTGCCCCATATTCTGATTTTTTTTTTATTTTGATAGACACGTCTTATTAATATTGAATACTGAACAAGGATGTAAAAAATAGTGTAACGAGTAAAAAAAAGTAAACAAATTCCCTTTTTTCGCTTTTGGGGCCCACTTTGCCCCACCCTCCCCTACATTGTTTTTTTATTTCTGAATTATAAGCGTCCTGGGAGAGGCCACATTTGCGTCCTGCCATAGGATATAAGAAATTGTACGTACTCTACATTAATTTTAGAAGCATTTTTCTCTAATGCGGGCACCGGCGCTGCGGCGTAATATTCGTGCATTGGACAGCGTAGGAACAGCACCGAATGCGATTAATGAAAAATATCAGCTTCTGGGTTAAAATATAAAAAGGGCCATAAAGTTCAAATCATGACATGACGTTAATGCAGAAATTAATGTCCATGATTAATTTTGTATTTCATCATGGTGAATTCTTTCGGTCTTTGAAAGTGCATCACAGTAAAGTAGATTTCGCCGCACAAAAGTAAAGTGATGCTTTTATATTTCATAAAGGGAAAAAATGAGAAAATTCTCTGCGCGCCGCAAAATTAATTCGCTCTTGTTCGACGTTCCGTGATGTAAATTACACACTTGTGGAGTTCGCATTAAATCAATCCTTAAAAGCATCGAAACGCCGACAATACGGAAGGGGCGGTCTCGCCGCCGCCGCACCGGCTTATCCCAGCCGGCGCACACGTAGCGACACTTTCACGCCTATAGATCTTTATATCTATATAGTCAGCCTATAGTTGGATATAGATTTTGTGTGCGGAGATGCAAGCCTCCAGATATAGCCGCCATAGGCAGTCGAGCCTATGGCATATATTTAGGGTTGGGTTTGGTTTTCACACCGTATAGATCTTTATTTTATGGGCGCGTATTGTAAAAT